CCCACCTCATGCACACCCCTATCCCTGGATGTGCACAGACCCCTGGATGTGTATAGGAGGGTTTCTTGTTTGGTGTGGGGGAGTGGTGCAAACAGAAACCCAGAGACAGTCCCACGTACGCCCTCTTCTTTCATTCTGCCAAGATGCAGCGCATCTGAGGCCTGAGGCATTGCGAGTGGCGATCGTCGCGGACATGAACAAATTTGAGGAGAACTTGTCAAAAGCCCGGCATGGTGTTGAGGCCCAAAATCTGCTTTACTCTCTAGTATGTACAAGTTGGCCCATGTCTTGTTTTCCGAAGGCAAGTGTGGCTGGCCAGGGCTCATCTGACGCCCTGATGTCTGCGACTCAAGTGCTTGTTGAAGCCATCGCTGATTACAAGCGCGCCTCCGTGAGTGTGAAGGGGATGTGCAAGGAGCCCAAAGCCAAAGCCAAAGGGGCTGCAAAGCCTTAGTTAGGCGTGAGTCTTGGTAGTCCTGTTTGACCGATCGCAATGCAATGCATTGCGATGAGGAGAGTTGGGGTGTCTTTAACTGGCCAAGATAAGCACATACTATAAGAAAACTCTTGTTGTCGCTCCTGTGTTTAAGTGAGATTGGTGTCTAAGCCCACACATGTAGGCATTCTGGCTAACCAGTCGTTGCCTGCTTTGCAGGTGGCATGGATCTAGTTTGTACCCCGGATCCTGGAATTGTCAGAGGGGCCAAACAGATTGCACATGCTGTGGTTAGAGCTGTAGTGTTCCACCTTGTACCCCTATGAAGCTGGAAACCCTGAAGTCAAAACAAATCTGTTTGTTGGCCTTGGCGTTCCGGGTTAGGCCGTCTGGGCATCAAAGGTGTCTTGCGTGGAAAGAAAATGATTGTACGTATAGCTCCACTACTTGTGCGTTAGCCGCATGCACATACCCTCGGAATTCCTGCTCCGTCGCAGACGCTCCATTTGCTGAGCACTTGATATCTTCGCTCGGACATGGGGCTTCTTGGCTCCACTAAACTGTTTGAATAAGTGACCATCGACATTGACCAAGAACCCCACACTAAGCTACATCCCAGGCGACCAGCTGCAAAGGCCTACAAGAAGCAGCGCAGGCGTGTGTTCAGGACCGGCCTTTTTTCTAGAATGGCAAACCACCCAGCCCTATCCATGAATTTCACCATCATGGTGCCATTGATTTCCTCCCTTCTCCTATAATGCAGGAGAGCAACGGAATGTGCAGCGATCTCACCAAGCGCATTGCTCGGATAGGCGCCAGTGGCAGACGGCCACAGAATTGTGAGGGATTTGTTTCGAATATTGAATATCCCCATTGACCCTGAGCAGGGTACTGGTGCATGTTTTGCTGTTGTTTAATTCCTGTTGTTTCTTTGGGGATATGCATACATCTGGGAATCTGTCCCTTGACAGCTAAGGATTTTTTCTGGGTGCAAATCCCTATCAAAGATCTTTCAGACCCAGCACGGAAAAGGAAAACCACTTTCAGACTTCCCTTGCTCCTGCCACACGAGATGTTGCACTGGCTTCATGTGCCCTGTCTTGCAGCAAGATCGTTTTATTGAGGGACCAAAGCCCCAAAAGCATATCCCAGAGGCACCAATGTCTGTACGTAATATAAACTTGGCTGGCACTCGAGAATGTACCTAATTTTTGATAACATTGACGCCTAGAAGCTTGTGTTGTTCTTTGACTGTTTTAGAACAAAAAAAGGGGTCAGAGACCATCGGTGTGGCACGAGCTGATGTTGAGGGATTTTGGGCGCACTGGAGAAACTACATGCCGTTCCATCCTGCAGCAGAAGCTGCGTCTCAGCCAGGTGAACAGCTTCGTGTACCCATTGGTTTCGCAGGCGACGATGCCAAATATACATTGAGCGGATCAAAGTTCATTTGCTGCACAATTTCGAGCGTTTTGTACAAAGTGAGATGAGTCTTGGTGGATTATGTCCATTTTTGTTGCCAGGTCTATAGTTGCAAGGTTCAACCTTCTGAAAGCAATGCATTAAAGTTTTGGTGATGGGGGTTCCCAGCTTCAAGTGTTTTTGTTTGCATGTGGAGCAGTCCAAGGCTTGGACATTTCCACGTTTCCCCTGTTTGTATTGCGGCGCGAGCTTTCCCTCGGAAGAGAAACTCTAGACCCGATATTCAGGGTACTGGCTTGGAGCATGAACGCTTCCTGACATGTATCAATGTGCACCATTTTCTCTTTTTTGGACCTACAGTAGCTAGTATATATTTTTACACGCAGGTCGCCCTGTTTCCTTTATGCAACATCCACATGAGGTAGCGTACCTTGGTATATGGCCAAGTGTGGGTCCTGATGGGAAAAGCCTTGACACTGTTCGCACGATGAGGGCAAACACACCTATGGTTGGGGCGTGGGCACTTGTGGAATACAGGGGTGATTGGAAATGGCACGCAGAGGTTATGGGTTTGGCATATTTCTACAAGGCCACATCTATATGTCACTTGTGTGCAGCAAGCACTCGGCCAGGAGCGACGCAGTGACTGAGTTGGCGTCAGTAGCCGATAGTTTTTTCTTTCTGTTGTGCTTTGTTGTGCACGGATGCGTTGTTGTTTCCTCCAAACATGTGGACACTGCAGGTATGTGCAATTCAGAAAGTTCTCTTCGTTCCACAGGTTCACCATCCCTGAATTTTACACACAGTGTATAGGGAGGTGGGTCTCGCCATTGACTATGGTGGTGGGTTTCCACCCTTTGCTAATCCGGCCGTGTTCCATGCACACAGTTCAGCTCGGACTATCTCAGTGGTTGAACGCTTCTGTGATCCTTGATCTTGCAGAGATTGGGTACTTCGGCGGTGGGAGCCTGCAACAGAAGCTCATAAGCCTTACTCATTCCCTCAATGGCTGGTGCCGTTTGCATGGCATTGAGTGCCCGAGATGTTGCAATAAGTACAATGTTTGGTGGTTTGGGCCAATTTGGGTTGGTTTTGTTTAAAGCTCTTTCTAGACGGGGTTTCAAGAATGATCAGATCAGCAGTAGGCACTACCAACAATACATCCCTATCTCAGTTCTCGGCATCAGTGCCACCGACTACCCAGCTCTCTCGCTCAAAGCCTGGACCAATCGCATAGTCACCTCGTTTCTCAATGCGTGCATGCAGGATGCATGCTCGCGTTTCGAAACTACGGAGCGGTTTGTGCTAGCAGCCAGTGCATGTCAGAAGCTGGACGAATGGCAGCTGTGTGTTGAGTTGGGCAAACGGTATCTGGGGCAAGCAGAAGCAAACCACATGTGGAATTTGTCAATGGAGTGCCTTTGGCATGAGATTCAAAGTGATTTTGTTTGGTTCTCACTGCTAAGTCATTAAGTTACAAAGGCATTGATGGCCAGCAACTTTTGCCAGCAAGGTTTCTGGGCGTGTACACGCTACTAGCACGCAAGACAGCTGAAGCTGGAGTATTGCGATACCCGATCAGGCCCAAACATCATGCGCCTGGCATTGATTAGAAACATTTGTGTTTTGATGTATTTTTTAAAGTTGGTGCATGCCTTGCTTTTGCTTCACCAGCTGAGATGTTTCAAGAGCTCAATTGGCTAATGGCCACACAATGTTACAACATCCGGTACACCCACACGTACAATGATGAAGACTTCATGGGTATACTGAAGTTGCTATGTACACGCGTTCACCGTGCAATGTTGGAGCTGCGTGTGATGTTGAGGATCTCACTCCGGCTGAAAATGTATCGCCGCGTTGGGGACCCATGAGCTTGAATGAACTTTAACACGCATATGTGTGAAGCTTTGGTGTGTTTGAATGCCGCGGGGTTCCCAACTGGCCTGTGTGATATGGCTGGTATTGCATATACCTAAGGTGTCCCGAGAGAGTGAAAAAGTGAGTCTCGAAGCTCATAAACGGCTGTAGGTGATTTTTGCATACGGAGGGCTTCTCGGCGTCAATGTTATCAAAAAGAAGGTGCATTCTCGAATGTCAGCAAATATTACAGACATTGGTGCCTCTGGGTAATGACATCATAGCACCACATCCCCGCCCTTCGTTGCCCTGTCGTTTTGGCCTCGCGCATGGATGAAACGCGCTCTTCGGAAGAGACTCTCGGCTAGTATCTGGTGATAAAGCTACAGTTTTTGAGGGCTTTTGTGTGGAATGCCCGCACTTCCCTGCAACAAGGAGCCTACGAGAAGAGAGTGGAGGTCGTGTCGGATGTACAATTCATGTGCATTTGCTTGTGAGTATGCATGAAAATATACTTCGAAGTATATACATGCATATGCAGATATCAACTGCTGGCGGCTGAAAGTAGCCAAGAAACGGATGAGAAGGACCTACAATTTGCTGCAAAAGTGGCAGTTGCAAACTGATGTTGAATTTTGAGACTATTTTTGCAAGATTGTGTTAAGACTTTATCGGTTTTTGCTGCAGGATTGACATGGTCGCAGCCTGGAATCGATGAGAAGTGGAGCTTGCTCGGAGAGAGTGCCAGAAAAGTGATCGGAAAGCGGCCGGTTAGTGAAAGTAGTCCCCGATCGCATGGTACTTGTTAAGCTAGTCTCCCGGGTCCGCAGGGTAATATATTAAAATTATAGCCAGACTGGTCATCATTATGACTGGACACGGATTCGATAGCCATGGTTGGGAAGTCCAGATACATCGTCAAATACCTATGGGCCACTGTCGTGCTTCAGTGGTTGAAGCACTGGTAGCGTGTTTCAGGGCGCAATTGGTCAGTCCACGACGTAGCTTTTTCGCTCAAGATCACCCTACATCCCTGTGAACTCCGTAAAGCAATTCTTTTCATCCCATGGCCATGTGTCATGGAACCAGGATACCTTGCTTGACCTTCTGACGGGAAGTCGTGCGCTACATGCTGTTGGCTGGGCTTAATTATAACTACATTATTTTGACCCATCCCCCGATGAGTCTCAAAAACCCAGCACAAGTTCGCTGAACCTTCCGGAATGGTGGTTTTGTTTGGGTGTTTCATCAGGGAGAGCGACTCGGACGTCACTTTTTTCAGGAGAAACTTCCCCGAGTGCACGAGTGCCTTGGCAGAAGGGTCTGCTGAAACGGATGGGTCAAAGGCCTTGATGGCCCAAGAACAGAGTTTGTGTATATTTGTGGCAAGGATTGGATGTTGACCCAGAAATCATGCAATCGTGCACGGAACTCTTCCAATCAGCTAGCGAACTCTATATATTATATATTATATTCCTCACTGTAGTTGTTGCAGTTTGCAGGCGGTAAACATCCGGCGACCACTCCCTTGGCCAAAAACTTGGTGCAGTTCCATGTCGGGGTGCCGGCGCCGAACGCAGGAAGTCGGGATGCCCATGATCCCAAAACCTCATAAAACACATCGAAAAAACCACGCAAACCACCAGCCACGCAAGCCACCAGCCACGCTTGCCCTGATAGGAACTCGGTGGTTGGACGGTGGTTGGACGAGAATGTGACCTGCTCCATGGGCCAATCCACCCGGGCCTTACATCCACGGGACTCGCGACCGGAGGTGGGCGGGCGGGCCCGTTCCGCGGTTGTTCGTCGTGCGGTGTCTTTTTTTTGAGACCGGAGATTTGATATCTAACACATCTTAGACACCATTTAAGAAGGTCTAAGGCTTAGACATAGTCTTAGACCTTCTTAAACCTTTCTTTTCGTTTGGGAGGTATGCCCATCGGATCTTGCGCCGTGAGACTTGGGCAGAATCGGGTCCGGCCAATTGAGCCATTTGGAGCCTGGATATCGGGGCGGAACTCACCAGGAGTGGGTGGGTGTTTGCTTAGGGTGCTTGTTGGGTGGTGTTCTTGGCTACTTTTATTGAGCTCTATTCCTGAGTTTGCTAAGTTGAGGCCCATGCAAATCAGTGTATCTTACATCCTATTTTTGGGGCTGTCTTCCAACATTGTGCCCTCGGCGCTAAAGGACAGACTCTACCAGATCTAGCAATTGGACAGCAAATGTATGCAAACGTGCTGTATCAAAATAATTCATAGACTTGAAACTCGTGAAGATCACAAGAATGAGTCAGACCGATTGGCTGGGTGAACTCATGACTTTACGGTATGAAAGGGTGGTATGTGCCGGAACCTCAGAAGTTTCTTTTCAGGCAATAACATGTCTCTTCTTTGCTTGTTTTTCCCTTCAAATTCCTCCCAAAACTTATGAATTGTTGAAAGAGGTTGCACAAGGTTGCACCGTTGCACCACGGTCTTCCCCAGATCCTTTCCTCCAACCATTCTTTCCAAACCTTCCTTATTTGTTGCTCTAAAATCGGCATTCCATGGTTAGAAAAAAACAACTGAGGACACCTTTGCGCGCGCCACCTACTTGTGGCCCTACAAACCGGTCACCCGTAACCTGAAGCTGCTCATGTCGGAGCAGATGCCCTTGCAGGCGTGGGAAGGTTAGTCGGCCGCCCGACGGTGAACCGAGTCTCACGACTCTTTCGGTGTATATAGAACTTTGAGGAATTGGGCGGATGCTAAAACCGAAACCTGACTGTCTATACACCGCGAGGTCACTTGACTGTCTACATGAAGAGTAACATTTTCATGGTGGCCAATGTTGGAAGAGAGTGGCCGATGTTTCATGGTGTAACTTGTAAGACTATGATGTGTTTCATTTTTTTCGACGCGAAAGGCTCGTCGAAGTCTTCGGATTTGCTCCCGGTTCTTCTGCGAAGCTTTCGGAACGTGGCACCGATTGATGTCCAGGCTTTCTTCCTGAACCTCATGTCGAAGATCTTACTGGGTGGGTGGAGTTGTTGCTGTCTTTGAAAACGAAAGGTGCGATCTCGCAGCGATTCAGTCTACATCAGCCACAATTCCCTTACTCATGGCTTTGAACCTGTCCTCTGGTGGAATTTCCTCTGTTCTGCGCGGCCGGTGTGGGACAGTGGCAGCCACACGCAGGAGCCCAGTGGCAGTGCTTGCTGTTGGTACAGAGAACTTAAAGCAGTTCAATCTAGTGCACAGAGAATGCATGAGAATGCAATGCTGTTCAGACTGTGAAGCTGCCTCGCATGTTGCATTCTCGAATGCAACGAATTCCTGGCGGCGTAGAAAGCATGCCAAGGAATGTGCACAGGCTTTTTTATCGACTATGTTTGAAAGACGGAGTGAAGCAGGTTTTGGCTTGCCAGGGTTTGCTCACCGTTTTGCCGATCCGGCCACAGCGTTTGACGGGGTGTGCAAGATGCAGTCAACAGCATCGATGGTCACTGCTGCCCACAGGGATGTGCAGTTCTTCTCCCTTCCTTTGGACGCCAAAATTAGCTTCTCACACTCCCAGGCGTTTTGTTTCGATGCGGAGTCTTCAAGCCATCGTCTTGCCTCGTCCGACTGCTGGATGTGCGTGACGGACACGCTGTGTTCTTCCGGCACCATACACTTTCCAGTACTGCGAGGGAGTTGAGTGGAGGTCGGAAAGTCATACGAGGTCCACTACACATGCACTCTTCTCCTGGTGTGGACGCAGATGTGACTGATGGCATCAACGCTGATGATTTGGCAGACGGCTTGGGAGGCACCACGAAAGGACATGTGTTGACATTGCATCTACTAAAGTAGGAGTGCCTCTTCTTGAATTGGGTCATGTCTCATGCCATTCACTTGGATCTCATGTGATCTTTGTTTCTCAATTTGTGCTGTCGCACTGCCGCCGTGCCTTCTGAACCCCTACCTGGTGCTGCAGCTCTACCGGTCCTATGTCGATCGTAGCTACGGAGGCCCTACGAACGACGTGAACCACGACGTGCTGCGTGCGTGAAGCGTCGCACGGTGTGTGGACCGGCCGTGAGAGCTCGGTGGAGAACTCTCCAACGGTTCAACGACTTTGGACCCCTATTAGGATCCAAGTACTGTACCCTCTTTTCGAAGGTGGGAACTGGGGGCCGTGCCAAGGAGGGGCCAGTGTTGTACCTTTTGAGGAGGTACGACTGGATCCCTAGGGGACTGGACAGTTCTGGGCCGTTTTGAGATGCTCTCCGACCATGCTCTCCGTATACGCCATCACAGTGGGACAAGTGGACAAGGCGTGCCAGAATCCTTCGACCATCTTTGCAAACAGATGAAAGACTACAACATGGATGCTGACCTGAAGCCTCACGGCTCTCGAATCCTCGTGGATTCCAAGTTTGTTGTGAATTCCGAGTATGTGAACCCCCTGGCGTAGATGGAAGACCTGGCTTGGAGTGCAGGTATGAAGCCTCACGCCAAAACCAGTAGCTGAATTTTGCAGCTGAATTCTGTGTCCTCATGGTATTTTGGTGGCACGTCTTTCGATGGTCGTCATTATTGGTCGTCGTGATAGCCTTGTCCTTTGAGACCTCCCATCATCGGCAGATGTGAAGCACCTGAAGCTGCCCAAGCGGCCTGAGGCAGCCGGGAGCTGGGATGGAACTCCAAGATCTATTGGCTGCTTGTCCGTCCGATCGCCCCATCACAGTGGGCTGTGGCAGATCCACTTCAATGTATGTGGTCTTGAAGCTGGAGACTCTGTGGGCGGCGCAACAGCTGTCCCTTAGTTGTGGGGCAAAACACGCAAAAGCTTTGGAGGCCACACAGGTGTGGATGGAGTCCTGAATCCACACCGTGCAGGATTGGCCTTCCCACCCACGCCTTTTTTGTGTCAGGCGATGATTTGCTCCGACATCTAGGAATCCCCTGAATGGCAATGTTATAATTAATGACCAAGGTCTCACAGCAAGGGCGACCAAATGCGAGAAAGAGAACAGGTGGATGAGCTGATGAGCTGTTTGGCTTCAACAAAGTACGTGGCCTAGTTACCTAGTTATGTTATCCTATATGCTATCCTAGTTCCCGGAGTGAGGAAGAGACCCCCCGGTACTGAACTTTGGGTGAACGAATCTCACTGAGATTTGACGCATTCGTTTCATTTTGTTTCACTGTTTCACTCATCGTGCGGAAGCTTCACTCGCAGATCCATCAGGTGCCGTTGAACATGCAGAGATTGAAGCTTGCATTGAGGCGACGGGCGACGGGTGGTCCCATCAGTGGAGTCTTGGAGGGGTTATATAATAACATATACTTAATCAATAATTATATATATATATGGTTTATGATTCATGATGCTCAGTGAACGTGATACATGAGAGATGCGTTTCATATACCATTACTAAAAGCTATAGATGGCTACTAATATATAGTAATGTATACAATATTGTTAGTGCATATATATGTAGTATTCTACTTTGGGAACCAAAAGTGTCAAAGACCAACCCTGAAATTTCGGCCCTACATGGCCTATGGAAGATTAGAACTAACTGGAACTATATATTGCTTCTGCTGGAGGTAGACACATAGATCAGCCTTGAAATCTCCCCCCCTCCCCTCACACACACATGCCATAAAGTGGCCCTGCATGTGTTCTACACCCTGAAGACAGTGGCTTTCCCCATGTCGGATGACAGGTGAAGACAGGGCTTTCACCCTCCAAATCCCAAGTTTTTTTGCGCCGCCGCCCCTCTGCGTGAGGCATGACGTGCCCATTCGCTTCAGGCAGTTTCAGAGCACCACCAGCCGCTCGGACGTCGGCGTCAGAGCTCGGCATAGAGTGAGGTCCTTTCAATATCCTATCATATCCATCCCTTGTTCAGGATCGACCTCAGATGAGGTTTTTTGAAACGCAAGGTGAGAGCGGTTCGCCTCATCACGTGGCTGGCATGTTCGCCTCTTCCAGTCTTTCCACCGCACCAACCCGAGACGTGGCCGCCTCAGGTGACTACAAGGTGGCCGCGAGGTTTCAGAAGCGCGAGGCGTTCGGGGCGCCGGTCAGAACGCGAACGTGTCGTGGTCCGGGACGACGACTCTTTGAGGGGTATTGGTGAGGTCGGCTTTGGTCCGAGGTGTGGTCCAAGTCATTTGGTTCCGAAGCGAAGGCAATGGAGGCCATATGAGGGAACATGGAAAAGCGGAGTTAGGGGTTTAGACTTTGTGCGACCTGTCGGACTCAACAATTTTTGTGTTGACGGTTATTTTTCAGCGACTGACTGGCACTGGAGTTTTGGACCATTCAATTTCCCACGAAGAATGAAGCGCTTCTTTTTGGTATCAATCTTCTCAAGGCGTATCAAGACCGGTTCTGACACGTGTGTGCATTTCGTCCGAGATCGTGTAGAATTGTGCTCAATGGTCAAATCCGACAGGAGTATTTATGACATTGATCATGATGATGCACGCGAAGCAAGTAGGGTTCTAGCCTGTAACACATAGAGAAATCAGATTCGCCCAGCAACAACACCTATATGTATATATATATATATAGTGACACGTTGCTTGCTTGGACGTCAGGTTTAACCTGAGCAGTTCTGAGCAGATCGATTCTTGGGAACATGCTGTGTTTGTTGTTTCTGTGTGGAACCTTGATTGATAAGGACATGTCTTGGCACGCCGTTCGGAACCAGTACCCCGGAACTGGTGATTGGAAAGAAATAAAGAAAGAAAGAAAGCGGGATGCCGTAATTTTGTTGACCGTGGCTCATGTGTTTGTTTGTTTGTGTGTTTGTCTTGATTTTTGCTTGGTGAGACCTGCATGTGTCGGCACACATGAAACATTACCACATATTACCACGGATTTTACCTGCACACTGACCGTGTGACCATGTTTGGAAGAATATGGATTTACCAGGTTTCTTTTACACATCTAAGGTGATGCTTTTCCCATCTTTTCCCTTATTTGTGAATGCCCAGTCTGTATAGGATGTGTTTTTTCCCTGGTTCCTGGACAGCAAATCCAACGTTGGCCAGGAGAACTGACTCCTTTCGGCGTGACGAGCGGTCCATTTCGGCGGTTCGGCGGCCGATGCACCGCAGCGTTTCGATGCTTCAGAAAGCTGCCGATGCTCCGGAGGATCATCCGGGCTTTCTGTGGGTCATCGACATCCCCGAGAATCACTTCGGAGCCCGGAATATCCAGGCGGAGCACGTTGGTTGGGGGGTATACTAGTGGGTCAACGGAAGGTGGATCACGGGGGAGGTGCATGCTTATCCAGCTTATCCAGACGATCCATGTGTAGGTGTATGGTGTGTTTATATATTAATATTATATAATATATATATATATAATTATATATATAACATATATATATATAGTATCGAGTCTATATAGAACATATTCTAGAACCCATTTGACCTCCAGTTTTGATAGGAAAAGTGTTGGGTGGTTGGTGGTCCAAGATAGACTCGGATTCCAGTGTAGACCTACATGGTTACATTGGTTTCTTCAGGGTCCCTGACCACATTGCCCGCCAGGATGTGAGCTCAAGGTGCGCGACTTACGTGGCGCGTCACCTGGGTTTCTGAGCGCGTGGGCGAAGCCGACAGTGGTGGCCAAACTCACTCTATTTTTGGCAGTTGATCCAGGCTGGCTCCGCAATGGCTCCGAACTAACCCTTTCAGTTCCAGACTTCACTTCATCGAAGCTTGGTCCTGGAGAAAACGAAACACCACGAGCGGAAGAAACCCGTTGGACCGTCACCACGAGCGGAAGCCGGACCGGCCAGATCCAATGAGTCGGAGACGCTCTTCCCGCCTTACTCCATGTTCCAGGCGCGTGGTTTTTTCGCGTCGAACGAAGCAGAAGAAGGAAAACCAGTGGCCCAGCTTTGGAGCGGAGATGTGTTGAGCAGTTGGGCCTAATGACCTGCATGTGTTGAGCATGGTTTAATATGTTTTAATAAAGTATGGTTTAGGTTTAAATTGCTTAAATGTGACGCATGAGGATTTATATATGTGTGTTGTTTGAGCTTTGGTGTGCAGTGGAGAAGCAGTACCTTCAACGAGCATGGTTAAGGGGTCGGACGCTCCCAGTTCCTTCGGGTAGGTCAAAACCCCGCAACGGTTAACCACAGTTTCTTCTATCAGGGGTTTCATTCTTTCATATCCCGTCATGGTGTGAAGGGTGAGGTGTTGACTGTTGACCCATAGATGTGTACCAAAAGTACAACTGCCCTTCTCTAAAGTCTCAACTGAAATCGGATTTCTAGATATTTTTGCAGGTGCTACTCAATGATACTTCCTTACTATTCTGTGCTGGTGAGTGGAAGATCATATGGATACTTGAGTTAACATAACTTTACTTTTATGCGGCGGCACGCTTGAAGGCGAAGGACGAACTTGATACGTTGCAATGGATCCTTGCAATTCTCAACAAGCCCACAATGTACTCCCCTCAACACTCCTACCACCACTTTGTTAGGATTCCCCAGAGGCGACTTGTACTTCCAAAGTCAATGTATAAGAGAAAACCACGATTCAAAAGAGTTCCCAAGACGTCCTGCAGTGTATATCTATGCAATTATAGGGTGTATCACATTACCAGTAATTATGTGTTGGGGGGGCAAAGGTTTGCAACATAAACCATGTTCATCCGCCCGGCCGCAATGGGATGGAATGGGATTTAACAGATATTAAACATTGAAAAAACATATATTAATGTATATGATCCAACGTATCTAGCTCCCCTATTTAGGAGGCCCCAAGAGTGACCTTTTTCCTCCAACCCATCGAACATCTCCTCTCGACCCGACCTCGCCGTGCCCGGAGGTCGTGGAGGTGAGCAACCAGAGGTGCCACCTCAAAGCTTTGCCCTGGGTCTGGGAGGAGTACGAGCCCCGCTCTGCTCAGGCCGGTCAGGAACTTTGCTTGACTTCGAGCTGTGTTGTGTTTGTGGCACGTTTTTCGCACTTTTTTTGGTTGGGTACTTTTGTGTCCGAGCGGATATTGCATCATCATCCTCTAACACACGGGAAGAGACTCGAAATGTATCTAAATGTGTTTTGTATATTATACATCATGTCTATGCATCGCTTTCTTGGTTCTTTGTTTACCCGGAGCTTCAACGGAGCGAGCAAATCTCCGGACATGAAGTCGAAAGGTGGGTAGGCGCATGATGACCATTGACAACCATCATGTTCCAATTGGATCCATATTTCCCAAACCACTCCATGTATAAGCTGATAATTATATGATTCATATATGGATTAGTATGGCCTACATTCACCAGCCAAAAGCCTACCTGGGACAGTCATGTAGGCCATTTGTGCCGTCCCGTGAAGCGTCAAGGGTGTTTGTGGAATTGCAGGTGCCACAGATTCTGTGACATGTTGATTGAATTGGTTTATTGTTCTTAATTGTAGTATATTGTAGTGCTGTCTCATGGCTGAGGACAAAAAGCTCAGCCAAGTACACATCAGTTCATGTTTCTTGCTTTTGCTCGCCTTCGCTCACCTGCTGCAGGGGGAGCCTTTCGATCTGGACGACGAGCCAATCACCGGCTGCGTTCGCTGCTGCGTGTGACGCCGACCCGCGGCCCGCGGCGGAGCCGCCAAAAGAAAGAGTGCGGCATCACAGCTTGAATGTTTGAAGCGGGTAAGAGAGAGCTATCAGACATTGTCAAACTAGTGAAGTGACAGATCCTTGGAAGCACAACAGCCTGCTTCTCCGTGAACTAGAAACTAGTGGTTGTTGAGCAAAGGTTCGAGGACAACGACTGTATACGACGTTCAAGCCCGCTTTGAATATTCCGTTGCATGGTTAACACAAGCCTCTTGGCATGCGGCTGACTTGTTGAACATGGTCAATTATGATCATATGTAATATGATATGTTTTGTGACAGCTAGCGTATCTAGCGTGGCGATTCTGCTCGATGAGGGGAATTCATGGCGCCCGTGGTTCTACGAGCATTAGCATTGGGTAGTATTGGCACGGCATTGGATAGATTTACCATGATTTACCAAGTGACAGGGACAAACATTGCACACACCGCCGAAATGCTCCAAGCTGCCACACAATATATACCCTAGAAGTCCAAGACTGTTTAAAAAACAGTCTTTAGGTGACCCCAAAAGGAGATTCCTTTACTTCGGTGGCGCCCAAAATCGTCTTCGGAGCTTCGGCTGGGGATGTTTGCCTCGTGCTGGGTGCCTTCCCCGGGCCTTCCTCCCGAAGAGGGAAGACCCCACATCGACCGTCTTCCCAACGTTCTTGAAGCGTCGACGGTGAGGTTTGACAGCCATGGTCTGATGACCAACTTGGCTATTTGAGGGGAGACCCCCAACAAGTGGTCCGATCAGTGAATGCTGTTGTGAGCCGTTTAGCTACAAGCGACCGCTCACGAGCTACAGAGCTATCCAGTTCTTCCCCATGAAACAGGGAACTGTTCGGAGTATGTACGGCAGTTCCCCAACCCTTTGCTAGATTCTAGATATGGTACCAAATCGACTTCACTTTTCTATGTTTTGCCAAGAAGGACGTCATTGACATGAGCCACTCCGCCAAGCCAGGCCTTTTTTTGCCTCCAAGTGTCTTGTGAAACAAGGCAAACTTGGTGCCAGCACCCATGGTGAGTCTAGTTGCTTGCTAATGGAACAGTGTGGCGAAGTGATTGCTCTTGATGTCGCAACTGATGCAAGGTCTGCACCCCTGACAATTATTTGATGCATGTGATATCACTCGTTTGAGGAGCCTCATCTCGCTTGAACCACAAACCCAGAAACGGATAACTTTTGGTGCGCCAGTCGCACTCCAGTGGTCCATGTTCGCTGGTGCAGGGTTTCTTACATCAACATGTTGGACCCTTCTCCGCGGATGCGTCGCCTTGAGCAACCCACCCTTGAAGGTTGAGAAGTGAACGAACACATGGATCGTTGCCCCAGGACGTTTGTTTCTTATTTTAGTTTCTGTTCACGCCAATATCCACCGTGACGTCGGAAGTGTTCCAATATGTTCCAACCATGCATTTTCTGTAAGACTTCTATATAGGTAATTCTTCATTTTGCCATCGTCTGTGACCATTGTCTACGACCACATGTCCTAAATTATATTGAATCATCGGCATGACGATCGTTTTCTTTTAAACACATATTTGTTTGTTCTGCTCTGAACACTTTATCAAACCTGCTATATAGTACTGGAATGTAATCGTGTAACCAGGAATTGGTCAACTCAATGTGCACTGTCTATCCATACAGTATCATACAGTTATAAGTGAGTGATGGAGTCTTGCATGCAGTCGAGAGGGTCGAGAAGTACTGTATCCGGAAAGAAGTATGCCTGAAACATTCTCAATCACATGAATGGTTTGAGCCGTGGTCTTAGATTGGAAGTGCCACCTTCTTTTAAAATTTAAGACAACCGATTTGACCCTATTCTCCAGCTTTTCTTATGTTGCCCTGGCATCCATTTTCTCTCCTTTGTCACACTGGAGTGTTCCCCGTTCATCAACATTTACAGCCTCCTGATCAACATGTGCAGACTTAGCATGTTGCATCAACGCTTCCTTTGCCACCTGTGGACCCTGCCTGTATCCACAGCGATGTGAATGTAGCCAGCCACAAGGTCTTTGCGGATCAGTTTGGTCTTTTGGGTTGGACGATCGTTTCAGGTCCATTAATTTGACTTTGTTCCGATCCGATCGAAAATAGTATGGGGATTCGATCAACTTCCTTGGGCGCCAAGCTGACCAGCTGTGTAAGGACCAGTCGGCGCAGCAGGCACACATGTGTACAAGCGCTGGTTGTAGATCCCTCATACCGCCTGTTTAGGGGTACTACACTTGTCTTTGGAGTGTCGAACAAGAATGATATCATGCACTTCAGTGCACATCCACCCACTTGGATTTCCTGTTTGTGAGGAGTGGTCTTCGTTCCAACCACCAAGAGGAACACTTTGGAGCTTTGGAGGCACACTTTTGGTTTTGAAACATCACCGGGACGACCAATGAGACGCTGGTATTCTGCTCCCTCGAACGCCCTCACCGAGTCGGTTCATTCCAGTTCTGACCTTTGAGCCGCTGGGCGAACAGGTCAGGATCTCATCAATGTACCGAACGGCCTTTGAGCATCGGAGAGAGGTTGAGGTGCTCCCACGACCCGGTCGTGGACCGGTTGAGGTGCTCCAAAACGACCTGGGTGAGGGACTTGGCTTGTTCGACGTTGGACCCCCTGAAAATATGGCAAGCAAGCATCCAGTGATTTGCTCAAGTGCTTGCTTCCGGAAGGGGGGATCTTTGGTGAGCTGCAGAATGCTGCAGGTATTAACGTTTGAAGAAAGTAAGTGTTTTGATGTGTTTTGCAACAGGTGGGCCTCTATCTATTTACACTCGCTGAAATATTCCATGATTTCATGAATGGCATACTCTGTAAGGATGAGAAGGACATCCTCAGCAAACAGGTCCAGCTGGTGCCATTCACTTCCGGTGATGATTTCTAAAATGGACCGTGAGTGGGTGCACGTGTGAATAGCTTTCGTGGTGCCATTCACAAGGGGCCAGCTTTCCGGGCTAGCTTCCATGAGTGTAATAAAATCCCATGAAAACCAGCCTCTTCTTGGACACGCGCGGAAGTGTAACAACTTCGACTGCCTTTTCACTTCCTTTCCGCCACGTGCAGACGTTTTGAAGAGATCCCGCGACCATGGGTGTTCGATGTTTCCTTTTCTACGGAGGTCTGTCGGGGGTCTCTATCCTATTTACCATTATTTACCTCACGCATTTGGTTTTTTGCGATGGGCTCCAGATATAGCGACCTCCACCAAATAATTATAGAGTTTTCTTTGCTCCAAGTGACTCCTTGTATTCAGCTGAGCGAATGAGTTTGGACACAAGAAACCACAAGGATCATGTTCCCCTGTTATCACTTGATACAGTTAATACTGCATTCTTGATACATGTTATCACTTGAGACGAGCGACGCGACACTAGCGATACCGTTTCAATCGAAGGCCTAGGGCCTAGCGATACGCTCCAGTGCTCCGATCGGCCAATCGGCGGGCGTCGGTTTCACTCCAATTATTGGCGTGAGAGATCATACAGGCGTTCGTTCTTGGGCGTTCTTGATTGGATACCTGGATATCATTGGATGCCGGGGGTTAAGTTGAATCGATCAAATTGTGCAGATATGGCAATCTTGGGGCGTTTGGTGTGGGAGAAAAACAGGCTCATACATCATAGTTTGCCTGTCCTGCTCCGAGACTGACATCCACAGATTCGTATCTTTCCAACTTTGAGGAGTTGGAAAGCCATCCTCCCAACCCACCCTGTTCAAAGAGCGCCATGGAACCATTGGCTTCGTCGAACTGGGCCCAACATGGTGCAATTGTTGGTCTCAAAAGTTGGGCGCCCGTTTCTCATGAGGGGGGTTCAGGTAGAAAGATGCCAGGTGTTTGTTAATTTTTGACTGTGGCAAAGAAACTCAGACCGATCGTCAAGAAGAGTCTATTGCACATGTTCTATAACATTATAAAATATATTGTTATTGTACATACAGCATATTCTATTGGATCCCACTATACATGCCTGAAGTCTGAAGTCGATTTGTTTTGGACTATCAAGGTTCCCCATATCAATCCTTCAATCCTGAACCGCCCTGTCTTTGGGCAACCCCACCGCGGACCGCGGGCGGTTGACCTGGGCGGTACCGGCCAGGTCTGAGCGAGCCCTGCTGCGGCTCTTGAATCACCAGGACTTCGAGGCTCGGAGCGGAGCCCGATCGCGGAGAGTGTGGGGTCGCGGGGAGTGGGGAGGTGGGAGAAGGAGCCTCTCTCGCTCACCACGAGTTCGCCCACTGAAGCTGCGGGTGTGCTGCCAGCGATGGTTCTTCTTGGGCGGTGGATGGTTAGAATATGTTAGAATCATTTTGAAGAGCAACAAGTCCCGCGTTGGAGGGGGGGGGGTATGTTTTGGAGTCGACAATGTTTTTTTTGGGAGGTCCACAAATAAGCAGCAGGAGGTCCTGGATAAATGGTGTTGTGTTTTTTCTTTCAGGTAATGCCTGGACCAAATTTAAGTGCCTATCTAACGCAAAACCTGCACGCCACCATTCCAACACCAAATTGGTGCCAGTCCCATGAATTGATGTGCTTCCGCGTCCACGACCATCTCCCCCACCCAACGTCCCACCCTGTGCCGTTCCCGCCGCGCCGCATCCGCCAGGTGGTGCGCCGCATCCGCTGCTTGGGCGACCGATCCGCCGAGCAGATCATGGACTTCCGCCAGCGCCAGGCGCGCGGGGCCCGCGACCCCACGGATCCTGGGAGCCTGGAGATGGGTCCCCCATAAGCAAGATCGTGGTCAAGAGTCAACAGTGGTTGCTTTTTCTTCATGAGGCTGTTCAAGAGTTTTTTAAGGACCAGATCATCAGATGTACTATATAAGAGGTGCTCAGATTCATCCAACCAGCGATGTTGGGATGATTTGGGTGCTTGAGGATGAGACCGGGAGCACAGTGGATCCGACGTTGGGCGGGGAGGTGTGTTTTAGGTCCTGGATGGTCGAAGCAGAGCAGCTGAAGCAATCAAG